TTTAGGCCTGTGTTACCCCAAGGACACAGGGCCGCGAGACAGTCCATTCTTGGGGTGGTGGCGGCACGTTACCCCCAGACTAGCGAGTGTGCTCCGGGAGAGGGGTCGGCCGGACATAAGGCGCCCCTAGGGAGGCATTCGGAGCCTGGAAGGTGGTCAGGCCGGGCGCAGGGAGGTGGGTGGCTCGACACAGGAGCACCCCGTACTGGCCCACCTTACGTGGTGGAAACAGTGGAGGGATACGAATACCCAGCTGTGTTCCTGAGGTGGGATCTCTGCACCCCGCCACAAAGCATATACATAGGAACATGGGATCATAAAGTACAGAGGACTGTGGGGCATAGCTTGTGCTACCTCCTTCTGACTTGTCGGTATTCTGTGTGAGTGGAAAGAGTTGGCTGCAAGAGCAGAGGCAGACCAGGTTAGAAGGAGATGGCGATGAAAAGGCACAGAGAACCTGAGCAGACAAGGGTGGAACTGAGGGTAGGACTGTCTGTTACACTTACATGTACAATAATAAACTAGACGTTTTAAGATGGATAACTTTTTTTCCCCTTCATCTAACTGTGGTAGGTAGTACTAACTGCTGGTGCCACAGTAAACAAAGTGAATATTATTTCTCATTTGACCAGCCTCTCCTATTTAATATTCCATTTGATGTTCCATTTTTAATATAGAGCTAAAGGTGATTCTGTTTTCATCTCTTATTACTTTGCTACAGTACTTCACTTGTTCTTGGTAAGAACACATAGATGTGTTGCCACAATCTATGTAGTAAGAATTGCTGTCCCTGACTTTGTTTATTCTGTATTTCAGATCTATACGGACTTTGAAGAAATCCGACAAGAAATTGAGAGTGAAACTGAGAGGATTTCAGGAAATAATAAGGTGGGTCCCAAGCAGGGTATTTTAACTTAAAGAATATATTGCTTGTTAAATTTCTGAGGCAAAATCTGAAAGCTAAAAGCTGGAAAAGCACAATACAGCCCTACTGTATAGGAAGGAATGTAGTGGATCCACTTAGTACGCCCAGATGATGTTAGCATTGGTATGAAATGACTAATCTAAAAGAAGATTCAGGAAATTGATACTAGTCTGCTTTACCACACAGTAACACCCAGGAGAGTCTACCACCCGAAGTTAAATTCTTCTTCATTGTGGTTCATGTAATTCTTCTTCAGTGTAGTTTTTAAGAAACGTTTGGATGCTTATCTTGCTGGGATCCTTTGAACCTAGCTGACTTCCTGCCCCTGGGGCAGAGGGCTGGACTCGATCTTTTGAAGTCTCTTCCAGCCTTAATGCCTATGAAATCTATGAAATATATACAGAACTTACAATAAGGTGGGGTGGGGCACGACGCAGGCGTGGCTTGCTCCAGGTGACAGCTGGGCATAGCCTCTGCGAGTCTTGGCGCTGCTGCACCCGCATTAGCGCTGAGAGCGGGGGCTCTGTCCTGCCGCCGCCTGCCAGCTATTGAGGGGGGCACGTGATGTGAGCACGGCAGTGCTGGGAGCGGGGGCTATGCCCTGCTGCCGCTTGCCCCCTTCTGCCTGGAGCAAGCTGCACCTGCACCCCGCCCCAGCAGGGCAGAGCCCACGCTCCCAGTGCTGCCGTGCTCGCATCCTGTGCCCCCCTTCCCAAGTAACGCACCTCCCTGCCCTGACTGGGCAGGTTGTCCAAACCCTAACAGACTTATCAGCTGGAGGCAGCTGTGTCAGCTGCCTGTTTAGTCTATGAACAAATCTCCAAAGCAGCCAAATCTTTTCCAAAGCTTTTCCGAATTTACTTGAATGCTTAAAATCGATTTGGAGCTTTTAACTGGTCTTCCGATTTGATTCGGATTCGAAGATTCAGTCCCCAGATCAGGCCAAATCTCCTCCTAATCGAATCGGCTACTGAAGCTTTGCACAGGCCTAGTGGACATGCTGCTGGTGGAGATTGTGGGGGGCAGGGGCAGGGGTCAAGCCACACTGCCTGCCTCCCCACTCCACTAACCCTCAGTGACCTGCCCCCTTGCCATTGCTTTCCATGCTTTAGCAGTGTGGAGAGACAACTATAAGATGACCCTCTGATAATGAGGTTTGGTACATGTATAATTTTGTTATAATTTTCCATTTTTCCATATATGGAATTAATGGGAGAGTCATCTTAAATTCGGGGTTGTCTTGGATACGGGTAAATATGGTATGTATCATCTAAGGGAAAGCAGAACTCCAGAGACAGACCAAGACCTTGGTTCATAAATTTGAATGGCTTTAGTTTTGGACAGACTTATTTTCAGGTTGTGTCAAAGGTGTTTAGTTACCTGAATATACTCCCCAGAAAGCCAGTATTTTGACTAATTCTTGGTCACATCTTTGTTATTTCTAGGGGATCAGCCCTGAACCTATTCACCTTAAGATTTTTTCACCTAATGTTGTCAACTTGACTCTTGTGGATTTGCCAGGAATGACAAAGGTAAGAGTTTGAATATGATTTTTTGGTTTGTTGCAAGGTTGAGTGTTTGAGCAAAGAAAAACACCTGCTGTTTGGCACCAGTTCTCACTGTTGCATAAACTATCTAGATTTCTGTTTAGAAACAGAAAATGTTTTCTTCAAGTTGACTAGTAGTTCTTACATAGTCTTGAAGCATCCCCACCTTGTAGTTAACATTTGCATATTTGATGATTCTCTTCTGTTTTCCCTCCCTTACTGAGCAAGAAGGGGATGAGGAAGTGTTATGGAGCATCAGAAGGTGAATACATTTTATAAGGGAGGTAGAACTTCAGATGTCAGCAGCCATTGATTAAGGCTGCTTACAGATGTGGAAAAAAATGATGTTTTAATTTAAGCTCGGCACACCCCTGCACCAAACGCAGTGAATGCCCAGAAGAGGCAGCTTGTTAGTTGGACCCAGTTCACACAACATCTGTATAGAACTGACACTTCAGTGGGGGGTTTTGGTGCTTTTATGTAATAGCTGAATGAATTAGCTATTAGATAAAAGCACCAAAAAGTCCTGCTGAAGTGCCCAATCTATACAGATGCTGCAGAGCCAGGTTGAACTAACGCACTGCCTCTCCCAGTTAAACACTGTTCTGTCTTATTTTTTTCATGTCTGTCAGCACCCTAAATGATTAAATCAACTTTTTCTCCAGAGTTTCTCTGATAGAAGTTGCAATGCAGCTTCATTGTACCACGAATAGTGGAAAATGGGATAATGGAGGAAACGCTTTGAGCAGAGGAGTTTTTTTGGATCTTGTGATGGTTTAACTGAATTCTCTGTGCTAAGGGGCTGCTTTTTCCTTGTGAAGACACAGACAACAAATAGGTGCCCAAATCCCTCTGATTTGTAATTCAAGCCAAAGACAATATTTCTCTGTCATGATATACTCAGGTAGTTAGTTTAATATCCCATTTTCCATCCCATTCTCAGGTTTTTTATTTTTGTGATTTTCAAATTTGATTTATAGGACAGAGAAATCACAGTATTACATAATGTTGTAGGGGATAGACCTTTACAATATCTTCTGTTAGATGGTGGATTTAGTTTTGCATTTGCATGATTCCCCTCTCGGTTCTCTATTCTGTTTCCTTTAGGTACCGGTTGGTGATCAACCTAAGGACATTGAACTTCAAATCAGAGAGCTAATTCTTCGATTCATTAGTAACCCAAATTCAATTATTCTGGCAGTCACAGCTGCCAACACAGACATGGCCACATCAGAGGCACTTAAAATTGCACGGGAGGTAGATCCAGATGGTAAGCAGCAAGCCAATCGGGGGTCTGTGATTTTTTTTTTTTTTCTTTCTGAGTGAATCAATTGTAAATATGGGTGAGATGTAAGCTGCTTGGGGGAAATGGTAGTTGTTCCTCATACTCCTGCGCTTTGTTGGAAAATACAATAGCTGCGCTTTTCCAGTTACATTTTGTACCATTTTGAAACTATTAGCAATGCTAAGATAAATCAGTATCCAGTAAGGGCCTGCTGACTCATAAGCAAGGGCAGTCCTTCTTATTATTCCAATACAATCATATGATCTATTGCTATTTTCAAAGTAGCAAAATGGTACTGAAGGATGCTGCTTTCCTTGATGTTTATTTAATATGGCTCTCTTATGATTGCTTAATTTTTCAAAAAGTGTTCCTTTTGTTGAAGAAAAATGCATATTCCTGAAGGTGCTAATTGGCTGTCATACATGGTTCTGTGCTAATTGCCAGAGGACCAAATGAGCCTTTGGAAAGATCTCGCATTCAGTTGCATCCCATCGTCCACTGTATTAATCTGGCAAGTGCGTGTTGATTTAATTTCCTGTGGCCAGGTGGCATACGGTGAATTCCATCCAAAAGAATCCCAAAGCACTCTGCAAACTTATAGACTGGATACAAGAAGCCCTTTCATATCTATTGGAGTCTATTGTTCAAATAAATGCTGACTATAGGTGCTTTAAAGTTAGATTAAGAGACTGGAGCTAATACGCTTTTGGACAATTCTTTGTTGTATTACCTCTCATGCCTGGGTTCACTCCCAGGCCATGGATTTCCCTTCTTTCATAGTTTCGTAGTTTCTAGGGTCGGAAGGGACCTTAG